CATGAGTTAAGTCCAGAATTTAGCATCTTTAGCTAATTAAGGCTCGGCTAATACTGCAGTTTTAACCCAGTTTACATGTCCTTGGTAAAAAGAGGGTAAGACTCAAATAAAACATACCTGAATTTAACACTTGAGATTTCCTCTACTGATAAAATGTATTGAATTTCCATTATAACAGTATTTATCTTTCCTTAATATATTTATAAATTCAACAAATGCAATGATGACAAGTATTTAAGCTGTCAAGATGTCAAATTCATCTCATTCAGGTTATTGAACTTAAAAAGAGAATTATGTCATTTTACACTTAAGATGAAGAGAAAACCTGAATCTTCCCTAAGTGGAACCATCACCTCCAGAGAAAAGACATGACTTCTGAGTCTTACTCAAAGAGTATTTTTATGTAACACTGGAAGGTTCTAACTGGGATTGCAGTGGTTCAAAATACATTTACTAAAACATATTCTTAAATGTTTGAAAGTCTGAGCCTTCAAATATGATGGGACAAAGACTTTCCAAAAGATTCTGCTAAACTAATAAATGAAGTATGAGAACTGTATCCAAGTGGATAGGTAATCGTCTTCCCCAGGCTCTGCTTCTCCTAGGTGCTAAGAACTCTCATCTCCATGGGTAACAAAATTCGGCTCTCTTCACTTTTCTCATCCCATTCAGAAGTCTCCTTCTGGAGAGGAAGAGTTATAAAATGAAGAGGGAAATCCCAAAAGCCTTTGTTTCCTAGCTCTTGTCCACTTACTCAAAATTTCAGATGAAGCCAAGAGAAGAGTGTTCAGCACTACTCTGATGATCTGAGTGCTATTTTTAAGCCCTTTTTTCATTAGTTGCAATTCTCTTCCTGAAGTAAAAGGGAGGACACCACGAAAGCTGAAGACAGTTATCTTCCATTTGCAATTAAGGCAGTGTTTGAAGCTAATTATAAATATCTGTAATTTCTGAAAGAAAAGAAATACACGACAAACAAAAGCATCTTCCCTTTTCCAACAACTTACATAATGGCAACTATATCTTTGGAGAGGTCTGAAAAACAACATAGACAAAATTCAAAAATACTTGAAATGAGAAAGAATATACTTCTATGAACTCACCTCTTTATATGCACAGACAACAGACACAGGAATTATACATACATGTACATTTATACACATTTTAGAAAATATTTATCTAGGAGGAACAAATTTCTTAAGACACAATGCCTAAAGGTAAAAATGCAATCAATGAAAATAAAAAAGTTTATACATCAGTTATAATAAAGGGCTCGGATGACCATTTCCATGCTTCAGAGATTAAAGACTAGATTTTGTATACTGGGGTTATTCTTTAAGCGGGATTTTTAAATACTGAGAAATTAATAATATTATTTATAAAAATTTATAGTAAGGTAAAAACATAAAACAGCAGTTCAAATGTTTGGCTCATAACTGTAAAATTTGAAAGAGGAAATACTCCATAAATGGTGTGAAGACAAAGGATAATTTGCTTCCTCTCTATATTTTCTTTTAAGGAGCATATATTGCTTCAACAATATAGAAAATAATCTTTAATATTTGAATATTTTCATATTGTCCATAAAATGCTAGTTGTAGAGAGAATCAGTGAGTTGACTAACAGGAGAGGATTTAGGTTTTTAATACACATGTGGGTCTCTACAATTTTTAATTAATAGAAACGCCAACTTTTACTGAATACAGTCAGAAAATCTCTGTAGAGATAATGTAGTTAACAGGCTACTGATGAATGAAATTCACAACAGAAAAATATAATCAAGACAGGCTAAATCTTCTGATTATGTTTCATTAAAAACAATACCTGTAATATAGTGAATGTTCATGTATCTGATAACCTCTAAAATCCTCAGGACGACCTAATACTGTTTGGTAGAAATCTGTTAACATTTCATTGTTTAGAAAATTCATATAAAATGAAGACTGCATTAAAAGCCAGTTTTACAAAATTATGAAACATTTGTTTTAAAACTGATTATTTGGAGGCACAATGCTGCCCTATACTGCATATACTGATTGATGTGAAATGGCTGCTAAATAAATTTATCCTATTGACCATGGACGTGAAAATGTCCTACACCACAATAAAGCAAAGCTATAATCTCCTACTTATGAAATCATACATTATTCTCACTACTTCTCTAATACAGACCTACTTGAAATGATGTGTTTTATTCTCTTACTTCAAGATTTTCTGTAATTTTTTGTATAGATACCCACAAATTTAATTAAAGGTTAAATTAACAGCCTAAATATTTTAAATTGATTTTCATTTTACATAAGGAGCAAAGAGAGAAAAACCACACAGGGATTCGTTTTACACACTCATAATTATTACTTGATCCAAATTAACAATTTAGCTCATTTAACATCATTTAATATTTGGAGGCCATTATAAATTCATCTGGAAGGAAATCTGTAAAACAGAAAACTGAAGTTTGAAGGTGAGTAGAAAAGTACTCAATATTAGCTGGAATGATTATTTTTGATCTTTTTCTCATTATCAAGAAAATTTTAATGCCAATTAAGTCAGGCAAACTAGTAGCTTCAGTGAGTAGTAATTTTATATATATGATCTCGAAACAAAAATAGTATAAAATTTTTCATACTGAATATTAATGTCTTAGTCATAAATCTACAATGGCTTTAGCTGTACATTTAACAGCATGACCTTAAAGTCAATACCTCAGCACTGCCTCAATAAGTGTTTTAAGCGATTTCAAACGCTAAAATTCATTTGTTTTATTTATGTCCAATGTGAATGCTGATTAATTTCATTTACAGGCTCTTAAAAACATTTATTCATGGTCATCACTATGTACAGCTTCACAATTTTTACACGAATTTTTATTCTTGCCAGTTTTCAGTATGCTGTTCAAGGTAAGGCAGGAACAAATGAAAATAAAAAAAATTCCTAAGGATAATATCTCTCTTAGGGAAGAGAGAATATTCTTTCCCATTTTCTACACATAAGCAATGATTACGTAGAAATCTGGAATATAAAAGTGAAAAAGATATGGAAAGGTGCACTATTAAATAATTTTCAAACATCACCTTCTCACTAGACTTTACTATTACATAGAAATTAGTTATATAGCCATTAATACAGAAAATAATAGTTCATTTCATTACACCCTCAAAGATGAACTCTTTTTGTGTATTTGAAGAAAAAGAAAATATTTTTGTCTAGACCTGTATCTCCATCAAGAAAACAATGCTATAACACAATAGAACAACTGTCACTGTTAAATTTTTCTCTAACAAAAAGAAAGTAGTTTATAAAACTGGAAAATTAATTAATATCTGTAGTAAAAGAGGCTTCAAAGAATATTTTACTGTGGCAGGAAAACAGAAACAGAAAAGGGCAATTACATTGTCAAAGAAAATATTTACTAAGGGAAAGTGAAAAAAGAAATTCTAAGACTGCATCAGTGAAGTTTATTTACAGCATTGTTATCTTTTTACTGGTGAAGAGATTTTAAATAAATACAATCCTACTTCCAATTTTCTTTTCATTACAATGGCCAGTCACTGCTGAAAAGAACTTTTTCTAAATTCTTTTTTTCCCCTGAAATTTGTTTATTTATTTTATTTTAAAGACAATAAAAATCTAAAAATCAATACTAATGATACAGAATTTCAAAATGAGATGACAGGAAATTAACAACGATTGCTATATTGCATATTGTTATCTTCAGAATTAATCATATAGCAACTCAGCAAATGTCTTTTTTTTTTTTTTTTTTTTGGTATCGGGAAAGGAACTCATGACCTCAGGCTTGCCAGGCAAGTGCTTATGCCGCTGAGCTACATCCCCAGCCCAAACTCAGCAAATGTCTTGAAAATTAAGCTTTTCTCTTTTACAAAGGCTTCATGCCTAGCAAAGCTAGAATATAAGAAACCAATGAAGACACTTCAAGGCTGTTCCTTCCTCAGTCCCATACAATTTATAAGGACTGGCTATGTGCTTTCTAGCTTCTAGAAGTAGTGTTTGGAGAAGGAGTAGATGTTGGCCAAGTACTGTGTAAGAAGGCAGCAGATGCATGACAAATAGAAATTCTGTTTCCAGCAGTGACTAAAGTAATGATCACTGTTTTCATTTAATCCAAAAATGGTACTGTGATGTGAATAATTAAATTCTATGACATTTCCATATTTCTTAGTCCTAATACATTACACATTCCCTTAAATCATTTTAATTAGAATGAATGCTAGGTAGGTAGAAATTTCAAAAAAGTTGCTTTAGCTGTTCTTTTGCATTTGGTACACTTAGTTTTTAAAAGCTACACTAGTCATTTTCAAAGAACATAAAGAACAAAGATTTATAGACATAAAGGTTTGATAAAAGAATTAAGCAATTCAGAAATCATGAGTTGAATCAAGTCTTTTATAACCTAATAAAAACTTAATAGAGTATACAGTATACTGTATAAGCAAAGCATTTAACATGAGCCAAGGTAAATAATCCTTTGCTGATCTACAAGCATAACAGTCATAAGGAATTAAGTGTTGTAATTATTAATAATCTTTCTTTTTAGAGGTTTTTTGGCTTTGATTTCTTTTTTAAGAAATCAAAAGTACATCCGGTATACTAGAGAAACAGGATGATTGATCTAAGTTGAAATTGTAAAAAAAAGCACAAAGCATAAAACAGGTTCACTTATGAATCTTTTAGTGACACAGATAACATATACATAATTATGTCTATTATAAACATTCTAATGTCCTAATTAATTTATAACATTGTATAATAGCATAGTGCACGTGAATATATAAATTAACAAATAAATGACTAAAACCCACTTTTGTTCATTATTTCACAAAAATATAAAATGATAAAACATGAATCAAAGTAAAAGATCAATTTTTCCTTTACACTAGAAATTATTTCACTATCTAATCTTCCACAAGTCATGAATGTTTTTATAATAGTACAGTACTCCAACACATACGACTCTGAAGTAGAATAAATTTACACTATTTGAAGTTATATGAGTTTATTATTAACAGAAGGTTGACAAAAATACCTTTAAAATGCTAGATAAATATAGTACATTGAATGCTGTTACTATTCTCTTTTGTTACACAATAGTATTATATTAAGCCCAGAAATTTACAGAATTAAAAAAAAGCATTTTGGTAACAAACAAGCAGGTAATGTAAAATAAAACTACTGAGCATTAAAAACATAATGAAATATAAATTTAAAATCTTAAAGACAAACTATAACACAAAGTTATGAAATAAAGGGAAGCAAATCTGTAATATGTAGTATGCCCTACTTTGGATGTAAAATACATTTTTTCCTATGCTTAAATAATGCAATTATTTTGCTTTACATGACATTCAGAAAAACATTTTTTTAAAAAAAGTGTTTTACCTCCCTAAAATGGAAATACAGGCTTTGTAATAGCAGTCATTCAAAATGTTAATGAAACATTCCGAGTAAAATGGTAAAGAATATGTGCATTTTAACAGATTAGATCTGACTAATCATCATCATCATCACCATCATCATCATCACTACTGTTATTATGAGTCATAATCCACTCCCTGTAGACCTGAATTTTCTGTAAGCATGGTAAAGGGAAAGAGAAGCGTAAAGGTTAGTAAAGTGTGGAAGATTGCTTGGAAGACATAAAATTATGAAATGTTTGAGAAGCTAGTAGCTGTAATTCAAGCTATAATCATAGATATAGTATTTTATAACTTCATTGGCCTAAGACTAACATCAACTAGTTTATACACACTCAGTGTACAAATACTAATTTTCTAGTAGGCAACTTGACTACCAGGAAGCAAGCATTATTATAATGTGCTGTTTTCTGGATAGGAAGTTACCCAACGAAAGAATGTACTTTATATTCAATTATTACATATGAACATATATAACTTAGTGGACACAGAATCTTTTTTAGAAATGAAAAATAAAAGGAGAAACAGCTGAAAACAAACATTTTCTAAGGCACCATCATTAAATCCCTTAGGTGAGACTTTAAATCCAGTTTATATGCCGTCTAATTATTTTTCAAAGTACTGGTATTTATATGGTTTAACACATTTGCTAATAATACAAGTAGATTTTGACTTAAAAAGCACCCTGCCACTAAGACAACAGTTCACTTATAAGAGAATAAGGGTAACTGAAAACATGCCGAGGCATCTCATGAATTCCTGTAGGCTCTCTAGGTAATGATGTACTTCACACGCTTGCTGAAAACTAAGTAATAGCTGACAAAGATGATGAGATTTTACCCACTGAAACCACTCTTTTGGCGAAGTCTGGTCTACTAAAAATAATGTGATTCTTTAAAAGTAGAAAGGCTTGTGTATCACAAAAGAGGTATAGAATAAATTTATAAATTTGCCACTGAAATAAAATAGCAACCATTTTTTGGTAACTCATATTTTCCCATAAGTTACCATATATGCAACGCATGTTTCTACATTCTCCTCACTACTGCTTCTTACCTCCTAATAAATTTATTAAAAGTTTCTCAAGATATATTTCTAATTTTTAAAAAGGGATTTGAAAATCACTCAGCTTTTAATCAGTAAAATGTTAGCAACATGTTAACTGTGCTCTAACAAGGGAATGCAGGTATTGGGTCAAATTTTTCAACTGTATTAGCCATAGAAGATTTCTGCAACTTTCCTATCTTAAAAGATATACTGTCACTGTACAGTATATCTGTACTCTTAAATTTTTTAACTGTATTACCCATAGAAGATTTCTGCAACTTTTCTATCTTAAAAGATATATACTGTCACTCTACAGTGTATCTGTACTCTTAAAAGATCTACTGTCACATCATTGCATGATATGTCTTTTAAAGCACAACTTTTCAATAGAATACCAATTCTATTCCAATATGCAAGTATTTTGATACTTTAAAAACATTTTCAAGTCACTTTACCTAATATTGTACATTAGCTCTATGGTTGTATTATAATATATTAATAGAAGGACCACACAGATGCAGTACTATATGCTATATATGCAATCAGTGAAATACTGAAGTTTTAAATCTTTATCCTGGTTATTTTAAACATAACAATATTTAAAATACCAAAGGTTCTATCCAGTGCTGATGTATTACTACTCTCAAGTCTATACAACATACTTCTTATTTTATTCAAACAAAATGGCTTAAAGTAGTATAACACATTTATACCACAGAAACATGTTTGTACTGGCATGGCCTTGTATATGAGTACTGTTATCGACACTATAACCCAGATTTTTGGAAGTCCAATTTATTATGAGAGCTGCCTGTATAAGTAAAATATTTTACCTTCAAACTGTCTACTTTCCCAAAAGCTAATCTTAGTGAAAGATAACTGATTTCCATGTGAATGGAGTATCAAATCTCACAATTTTATATATACTACACTAGAACAGATAGGAAACTCATGGCCATTAAGCATGTTAAAAAGCAAAGCATAAGAACTCCTGAATTATCTATAAACTGTTTCTGAGTTTTGTTTTTCCTTTGTCATATCTAACTGGAGGTAAGGATTATATGTGATATAAAGACTAGTGGTTTGATAAACAGAAGGAAGAACCCCAAACAGAAGCAGTTTATCTGGCTAAATACCACCAACTACAAGAGTACATAAGGTACTTTGGCTTTCAACACATCTAGCAAATTCAGGGAAGAACTAAGAATAACGTATAAAAAGATCAGATATACTACAATTTCTATTAAAAATTACCAATATAAAAGCTTTTTAAAAATATTCAAAATAGTGAGACAGGTGTATGTAGTTTGTAAAAATCTTAAGACTGAAATCTACTGCTGTCTTTTACTTGCAAAGTCATGCATTAAATGTTCATATCAAACTTTTTGATGCCTGTAAAAAAGAAAAAACAATCTTATAGTAAATATACTTGAAAGCCTAATAAGAGAAACTTACAAATGTAACTAAGCAAAACACAAAAATCCAAACAAGCCAATATATATTTAAAGCATTAAATATCTACTTTTAAAAAATCTAACTTGAGCAATGTAATTTAATTTTAATGTATGTCTCTTCACTCACCTGTAACATCTGATTTCCGGTACCATCCCTCAACCTGTAAGGCCTGATGACTCCATCCTCATTAAAGAATCGAGGTGGTCGTAGACTCTCCACTTCAGAAGTCTCTGTAGCTCTAGAGGAAAAGAATATAACATGGTTTAAAAAATTACTCAAACTTGTAAAATCAACTACTGATAAGAATCTTCTTTTAGATCCTATTTTTAAAATTTTTTATACAATTAAATTCCTAGAAAAATATAAAACTATAAAGAAGTTTATTAATAGATTCTCCTAGATATTTTTGTGAAAACAGAGCATCAAAAATGATAGTGTTGGGGCCAGACATTGCTCAGCATTACAAGCCCCTGCCTTGCAAGTGCAAGGTCCTAAGTTCAATTCCTGGCACCAAAAAAAACCAACAAAAAACAACAAAACAAAAAAACCCTACAAAAAATGATAGTGTTCTAATTTTTTTTCAGTGTAACATCTTTAAATTTTGTTTTCCGGTTCTACTGTCTAGCTTCTCAGGCACTATTCTAGACAGCAGAAAGGGCTATAGGCACCCTTGTATCTGACTACAGGAAAAGCTGAGTCCTCCACAAAGCATAGATATCAGCAAGTTCTTTCCTTAAAGGTATCCTTTATCAAGCCCCGGAAGTTCATGTCTACTTTTAGTGTGACTATAATTCATCTTTTTTTCTTACTGCTGTTTTTAAAAATCATGACTAGGAAATGGATTTTAAATTAAGTTTTTTTTCTAGTTGTTGTAATCACATGCTTTATCTTACTCAATTCTACTAAAGTTAGGAATCATACAACATGGTTTTCCAGCATTCAAATATGCTCATATTCCCATTTGGGCTTCATGAATGCTATATTAAACACATACACACATGGAAGAACTTGGCAATATTTTATTTATCATTTTTGCCTGTATGGTCGTATGTCCATATAGATGGATAAGTTTGCCAATTAAAAGCAGAATAGACAAAACAAAAATCCAACAAAAATGGTTCAATTGTATATTGTCCACAAGAGATTTAACTTTAGCATCAAAGACACACATAGGAGAAAATAAAAAGACAGGAAAAGGTATGTCATGTAAAAGTAATTAAAAAGACAGAACTGGAGTGGCTATACTAATACCAAAACAAAACAAACCAAAATATTAAAATAAGCAATTCTAATTATACACAAAGAGGATATTTTATAGTGAGAAAAGGGTCAAACTATCAAGAAGATACAGGCACTTAAAGCAACCCCCATAGACATAAAGCAAAAACTGAGAAAAGACAATTCAACAATAGTTGAAAATATTGATACCCTAATTTCAATGAATACTAAAAGGAAAAGGTTAGCAAGGAAACAAGAGATTTGAACAACATGCTAAACTACCTAGAGCTAACAAATATCTATATAATATTCAACAACAGAATATATAAAGTTACATGTAATGCATTACATGAATATATTTCAATTAAGATCACTAAAAAGGTTGTTCAACCTGTCCATCCCTGAAAGCAGGGACTGTGAATAAATGACAAACTGGAAATGTGACAGGACACAATGCAGTAATTTTAACAATGAAAATGAATGAGGAAGTCCTATACAGCCTGCCGAATTACAGTGTTCATAGCTAAGTGCTCAAAGGCAAAGAGCAGATACATTTCATTTTCTATACTTGAATTATTTTACTCATATGTCACACCAAAGATAACTTACCTTTTTATCCCCTGAAATGTACTGCTAGCCATGTCTATGATGCCTCCAGTTGGCCTGGCCACTGCCCCAACTAAACCTTTCCCAACACCTTTAAAGAAACCAGCTGCTCCTTCTTTCTGAGCCCCTAGAAATAAAAAATGATAACTTCTTAAGCAACTGGACCAAGAACCAACTAGTGAAATATATCAGCCAAATAAACTCTTATACTTGCCTTTGATTGGTTTTGTAACAATTCCTGTAATGCCACTTACAAAACCCTGCAAGGAAAGCACAATTGAAAATTTATATTACTTTCATATGATGCTTAGAAGAACCAACTCTGGCTGAGAACAAAAAAATACAGTTCTTTTTACGTATCATATTAGCATATTTCCTAAGTGTTCTATGTAAACAGAATGTTTTTTGCAGACCCCTGTTAAGTTTTATACTTACTGCTCTTACAACATCCAAATAATAATTTAAGGAGTAACAGCTATATCTATTTCTTCAGTCAGAATGTAGATTTAAAATCTGTTCTCTAGAATGTCTACAACTTTGAAATTTCTTACAGAAACCAAGCCTTTTCCTCCACGGGTGATCCCTTCTCTAAAACCAGCTGGCTGCTTGTTCATGGCTTCTCTTCTTTTCTGCTGGTAATCTTCATCCATTGTGATGGCTGCTACACCTTTAGCCATAGCACCAGTGATTTTTGAGGCAGCACCAGCCAATCCACCTAACACAAATTATAGTATCTTTAGTAAAAACCAGCTTTAGTAAAAGTAAAATTATAGTATCTGCAGTAAAAGCCATTACTTTCTACCACCACCCAACTTGGCATTGTATTTCTTACCAACAGCTCCCCCGACGAGTGCCTTTAGTCCTAGTGCCATGCCTTCCACAAACTCTTCAGGACCCTGGATGGCTCCCTACAGTGATGACAAATAATTTTTAGAAAGTTGCATTTACTTTGAAAGGTGAATTTCTTCATGTAAGTGAAAGAAGTGGCAGTGATGAAAAGAATAAAAATGGTCCTGAGGAAGTAAGGACAGCAAAATAATCTTCACATTAGAAAGAGTTCTCAGGGATAATTTCATGACAATGAAAGTATGAAGATAAAATGATGGAATCTTCTTCACACTTAGAGAAAAGATACTTGTTTGCTCTGTACTGTAAGTTATATGAAAAGAAAGCAAGCACTTCAAGTACTCTGTTAGTAAAACAAATAAAACGATTTAAAATTCTTAGTGTTTCTAATGTTTTATATTAAAACACACAAAATATTAGTTTTTCCCTGTTTTTAATTTCCCTATACATTTAAAAAATAAAGAGGTTCTTATATAAAATGCAGTACTACTCTGTAATAGAGAAGGATAAATCTGAGTCACTTGTAGGAAAACTGATGCATTGTAAGATGATAATGTTAAGTGAAATAAGTCACACACACCTTAAATATCATGGGTATTTCTTATATGAGAAACTCAAAGTATAAAGACCAAAATAAAAGGTAACAGGAAACAAGGACATAGATCTTTTGCAAATGGGAAGAAGACCAAATAATGGGATGCAGGGAGGAAAAACATAAAACTTAAGATACATAGATATACCAATGCCCCAAGATGAATGTAATCATTATATACAACAAATAAATACTATAATTTTTTTTTTAAAAGTGAAAATAAGAGTACTGAGTGTTCTGATACAAAGTGTGAAAGGATGTCTCATAATTACACGTTTTTCCCCACTGGTTACTAAGATAACTTTGCACAGTACAAGCTTCTACCATTTTTACAGTTCCGTATGTCTGTGCAAATCATGACTCATACATTGCGATCTTCCTTCCTCTTATAGTCTGAATTGTATCTACTTTTATATTCCAAAATAACACGTAAAATTCAGTATAACTTAAGAGATTCTTAACCGTTCTGTGCCTAGTGTTCCATTTTCAGAATGTCTATAACAACAAAACATAATGAATATTTTTCTCTTCAAATTCTTGTCCCTGGAATTTTTCTGGACAACACACATGAATTTGATAAAAAAATTTAACAATTGCAATCTCTGGCATAAATGGGTTAAGTTTAAATTTTGAGAAAAAGGTACAAGTTTCCTCCCAAAGTGCCCCAAAATGTTACTGTTTGTTGAAATTATTCTCTAAGTCTCCCAAAATTTATTTATACCCACAGGTCAAGTTAACAAAAGAAATGCATTATGTAACCAATAGTATTAATTTTATATATAATGCAAGGAAATTACTTTACCTGGTAAGGTTCATAAAAAAATGCCTCTACACCTTCTGAAAATTCCCTTATTAAGCCAAATGGATTTCCCAAAACATCAAGGCCAAGAATGAGTACATACATCTGCTTAATGGCCTAAAAATGAAACATGAATATTAATCAATTCAGATAATTCTACCTATTATTCTTAGAAGATTAGTATACACACCTAGTTTTCTCAGGTTAACACTCTTACTATTAATTTCAGTATCAAACCATTATCACCTTATTCATCACCATTTTTAGTTTAATGAGCAATCTGATATTATAGTAAAAGATTCTTATGATGTATTTATATAAAAATATCTAAAATGCTTTCATTTGTACAATTACTTATGACAGTTGTTACTACTACCACCGTTTTATAGACTGGGTCAAAGGATGCTCAGGGTCACACAGAAGGTATATGGCAAAAGTGGGATCAATGTGCACATTTTTGGAGTCATGCTCAGTGATCTGTCCATCAGATCACAACTAACTCATATGTTCTGTAAGCTGTATCATAAAATATTAATGAATGCATTTTTAAAGAAAAATGTGAATTATTTAGTTAATAAAGATTTATTTCAAATCCATATTAACCCAGAAAAAACTTCTGACAAGGGCTAAAAATATAAGGACAAACTAAAATGAAATTTGGGTTGGACACAAGTTTGTTTCTACAACTGAGAAAAAGCCATGTTTTAAAATTTTGAAAATGAGGGGCTGGGGATTTAGCTCAGCAGCACAGCACTTGCCTGGCAAGGGCAACATCTTGAGTTCGATTCCCGGTACCAGAAGAGAAACAAAACAAACAAAAAAATAAAATTTTGAAAATGAATACCTCTGTGAAAAATCTGTATGTACATGTATGAGCAGACACATAAAGATTCACTTCTCTATGTAATTCTGTCCCTTTATAACATAATCTCAGACAAACCTGTTTTGAATAGTGTTTTATTACTTCAGATTGTAGTTGAGAAGTTGTATGAAACTGATAGTTGAGTTCAAAAAAGGCAAGCCTGAAAAAAAAAATATGTGTGTGTAGAGATCGTGAAACCAGCAAGAGATTACTAAAGAATGATTTACTTTTAAGTTTTTCTCAAATTCTTTCCTTCTAGTACAATTTTCTGTGTATATCTTTGCACATTCTAGTCAAGCTCCTAAGTCTAATAAAATTCATGCACCTGATATTTTGAAATGTCATCAATATCCACCATTTTCATAGAACTTAAGGACTTAAGAACCTAAGAACTTTCATAGAACCCCACAACCCATTCATGGACCACTTGAACTATTTCTCAATTCTATGGCTCATATAAAAAATATTCAACACATTAAAGTAAAAAGAAAAGATTGCTTAAGAATGGCCAAGGTTAAGACAGGCATAGTGATTCATGCCTGTAATTCAAGTACTCTGGTAGGCTGAGGCAAACAGATCAAAGTTTGAGTCTAGCCTGGGCAATTTATTAGCAAGATGCTGCCCCTGCCCTGCACCAAAAATGAAAAAATGATTTGAGATGTACTTCACTGCAAAGGCCTGGGGCTCAAATCCCAGAAACATATACATACACACAAAGAAAAAAAAAGGCTAAGCTTCAGTTGTTGCAGGTCCTACCTATGAGCTGACAACTGAGGAATCAAATCAGCTTACTTTTATAAACCCATTCACAGCATATAAATATACCCAATAACTGGTAAGTTCTACACTTCTTACTGCTGAATATAAGGGCAATAAGATTAGAAATCTCATCCTACTCTACTGACATCAAATCTATATTCTTTTGACTATTACGTAACTTTGTCTAGGTTCAGAATTCCTTCGTATTTTATTACTAATTTTCACTACTGTTTTCAATAACCTGGGAGAAAGTCTATCCAAAAAGATCATACTTTTCAAAAGTCTCCATTTAGACTCATTGAGTCTCTGGATCAGGTATCTCTTTAGCTTCCATTATGACTCATTCAAATATAAATTTTTGACTATAAGATGTTTAAACTGATATCTTTAATTTTCCTCATCAATGCATTTAATTTGTTCCAGTCATACCGTCTTTGAAAAGTTTTGATCTTATGGCTTAAAACTCACATCTTTCAAGCACTATTATTGTTAGGCCTTCACATCTTTCGAATACTTCCCTAGGCCAGGTTTCCTAAAAGTGTATAAAACTGCAGAGCCTATACCTTTTCTTCTTAAGGAAATTATTTGATAATTATTCTGTAGTTTAGGCAGATAAAATGCTTGACTGTATTCCATTTAAAGGCAAAAGCCAAATTTTAGTGTGATCTGCAATATATTTTACACTCTTTCTTATGCACTAAAATTTTAGGTTAGTATAAATGGATTGTTCATCAGTTTACAGATTTGACTATTAAACATACTTAAAAACTACATCTTGTACATCTGTAAGAGTGGCACCAATACTCTTCAGCAAAAGATTTAAAGAATGAAATGGAATCAGTCCTCCACGTTGTTCAGAATCTTTAGCTTCTTCTCCACCCGAACTCAGTGAAACACTCAGATGTAACTAAAGAGATAAAGGGATAAATATTTTAAAGTACTTTTTTCACACTGACAATTTTAACTTTTCAAAAAAAGTTATCATTTTAAGTTCACACCATAAAAATTTCAAAGTTAACTGGATTATGTTAAAGTTAGTAAGTAGAAAGTTAAAAACAAGTTTAAATCCAACATAGCTTTACTTAAATTGTAAAATTAGCAACATGATTTAGTTCAATTTTATTTTTTGATAAACTTAATATTCACTTTTATATATTCATAATAATAATAGCAGCGTAGTAGGTTACGCTGCTGAAAATAAACATTCCCAGAAGAGTACATTTGATGTTAGAATTAAGTTGGTATGAAGACTGTTAAAAAGCACTTTTGTGCCATACTGCACACTTATCCCATATATATGATTATGCAATAATTTCCTTCAGGTATTATATCAGTATCTTACAGAAATTGTGTCTTAAAAAGATTTAACTTTATTCAATGTCTAATTCTTAAATCAAATATACTTTACAAATTAAAACTAGTACACATGATACATAACATTTTAAAACTTGTCACCAAAATAGCTTTAACAGAAAATTAAGGTAAAATAATGTTAGGTAAAGATATTAATATAGAAACACATGTTATAAGTGATTATTCATTTCTACATAGTGGGGATTTATTTAATAAGTTTTTCAAGTATCATTCATTACTTACTTATATATGTAATTTTAAAGCTTCAAGATTTCTACCCTATTAAGAACATAACTGAATTGCTGCATCCCACTGATGAGATCAAATTAATTTACTACTACCTAGATTATCAGAGATAAGAATGACTTATTTTTCCTATACCTTGATAGGAGATATATGAAAATATTCATAGAGGCTGACTTGTGATTGATCTACCAGCGAAACTGTTTCATATTCTTCTTCAAAAGCTTCTATATCTTTATGGAAAAGCTCAACCTACAAAAAGAACATAAACTATTAAAAACTGAAAGGACATGTCTGCACGAAATATTTAAGCCAATAGATCACACCTTGCAAAAAACTCCTCTATAATATTCAGAATGAATATTGTCCATGATTGGAAGTTACTGCATCAGAAGTTAAACTAACATATTTATTGTTAGGAAAGTTCTGCCTGCCAATCACAAACTGGTAACTATGTATTCTACCGTTCCCTTAAAATCAGTAAAAGCCATCAAGCTTTTCTTCATGTGACTGTGCCTCTTATTTCAAAAAGCCTGTAATGGTTGATACAAGGTGTCAACTCGAGAAGTTTAGCAGTTTAACCAAGCCACTCATCACAGAGCCAAGGTCCTTACTTTGTGAACATCCTCATCCTGGGCAAGAGGAGAGCACAGAGATGGTGTGAGTGCTACACCTGCCAGGTGGGGTAAGGGCAGGGTGTGGAGGTAGCCTGCTTATACTATAAGGGAGGAGAAGAGGTTTATTGCTCTTGTTGCATTGCTGTCTTCTGCTGCCTTGAACTGCTCCCCTGTGCTATGCCACACTGCCTTGGAGCCAGCCGAGTATGGACTGAATGTTATAGTTCTAATTGATATAATATTGATAGACCTAATATTGGTTCTTAAGAATTGTTAAACCTGTGTTATAATGTTCAAGTTGTGAAATGATGAGAATTGCCATGTGTCTGTATCTGGAAACTGGCTTAAAGAAATGTGTCTGGTTGTCAAGTTGACAAGGGGTGGCCTGTGTAGGTTGATACACTGTGTTAACTTGAGAGGTTTAGAAGTTTAACTAAGCAACTCAGCAGCGGACCAGGGTCCTAACTTTGTACACATCCTCATCCTGAGAATGAGGTAAGAGGAGGGCATGGAGATGGTATGAGTGCTACACCTGCCCTGGTGAGGGTGGGGGTGGGGCCTGCTTACAATATAAGGGAGGAAAAGAGGTTTGCTATTTCCCCCTTCTGCTCTTGTTGCTTTTGCTGTCTTCTGCTGCCTTGAACTGTTGCCCCTGTGCATGCCACCCTGCCTTGGAGCCAGATGATTATGGACTGAAACCTCCATAAACCATGAGCTCAATAAATCTAACGTTCCTTAATTCTGGGTATCAGGTATTTTGTCTCAGCAGTCAGAGAAACGTAACCAGACAGGGCCATTAAGCCATTTGATAAACAGACTTTTGGGCGTATTTTTTCCTTTAAACACGATCGCATAACCATTCGCAGCATTTTGTTACCTGCCTTACTGCAGCCTAGGGAGGCTAGTAATATAATTTTTAAAAGGATAAAAATCCTTTATCCCCCACTAGAAACAGTACTGCATGAAGTAATTAGTATTTATTTTCATTCTTGATAATTGTTAATGTGTTTTTCCAAATACTCACAGACCTAAATTGCTTCTATGTGTTGAGAAATGATCCAAGAATTTGAGGATACATTTATAGAGATTATACAATTAAAAAAAACAGAGAAAAAGGAGTGAAGAAAAATGAACAGAATCTTTGAGAAACGTGACAACTGTAAATGAATTAAAAAAGACAAGAGGGGAGAAACAAGCAAAAAAGAAAGGAACAGAAAAAGTACTTGAAGAATATTTCAAATATTGACTGAAGCTCTCAAATTCATTGAAAATATAACCTGTATTTTCAGAAAGTTTAAAGAACTCACTCCAAGTACAGTAAATGCAAATATTCACAATCATGTTAGTAAAAATGTAAAAGTTAGAGAAAAATCTTAGGAGCACAGTGAAGAGAAAAACAATTCATTATATACAAGTCCAATAAGATTAATGTTAATTTTCTCACAGAAACAAGAAGGGAAGAAGGCAATAGATAACATATTCCAAGTGCTAAAAAACCTTCTGACATACAACATAGTTATATCTCAAAATGAAGATAACACAAAGACATTCCAGACAAATAAAATCTAGCATTTGCTCCTAGCAAATCTGCTTTACAAAAAAGTAACAGTATAAAAATTTTAGGCTGAAAGCAAATGACTCCAAACTTTAAAAGCAAATGAAAAAACAAAATGCACCAGTAAAGGTAATAATACAAGACTATATAAATGTATATTTTTCCTTTTTCTCCATAGTTAAACAAAAATATAACGGAAATAAACCTCAGAGACATCTACAAAACACTGAACCCAACAAGAGCAGAATAAACATTCTTTTCAAGGGCATCAGGATTATTCTCCAGTACAGATTATATATTACATAGACATTAAATGTACAGTTAGGCTGATGATATATAGAAAATATATATACATAATAATAGTATGTGGGAAGCAAAAATAGTATGCAGGGAAATAAATAAATGGTAAAGCAATAGTCACAAAAATTTATTGTTGGGGCTGGGGATGTAGCTCAGCAGTACAGTGCCTGCCTGGCAAGTGTGAGGCCAAATTTGATTCCTGATACCAAATAAGAAAATAGTAAAAACAAACAAACAAACAAACAAACAAAAAACTACCAAAAAAATTTATTGTTGGGTTTGTAACATAACAAATGCAGTATGTATAAGAATGATACCACTAAAAAGGGGGGAAATGGAAAAAAGTAATATAGGAGTTACATTTCTGTATCTCACTAGCACTAAACTTTTGTAAATCAGAAAGTAGCTGCTTTGAAACCTGGAGCAATCAATCACTAAAAAAGCTTTGAAAAACTTAAAGAAATATAGTAGAGACATCACTAAAGAAATTTTAAGTGTTTCCCCAATACTATAGCTTGTAACTATATGTCCCCCAAATCCTCATGTGGTCATAGATGGGGATTTTCCAGAGATGACTGGATGTAGGGTCTGTGAATGTGGATTAAGGGTATACCAGAATTAAGAGAGTGGTATTGGATTAACCCACTAATTGGTGGATTAATCTGGATGTGGGTAATGGGAATGGTACCTCCCTGGATGTGGGTGGTACCACCCAGGAGGCTTGAAGACTGTATGGGATAAAAGGGTAAGGGAGGCTTGCTGCTGGTACTTCTGCTGCTGATTTATTGACTGCCCTGCAATGGACTAGTTCTCCTATGCCATGCTACCCTCCCTTGGAGCCACCCAACTATGGAGCTGGAATAAGTCTTTTCTCCTTTAACTTTGGGCATTGGGAATTTTGTCTCAGTGGTGAGAAAACTAAGACACCCAAGAAAATGTTCACTTACTGCAAAGAAAGTACTAAAGGAAGAATAAAGGAGTACAAAAGGTATGAGACATGAAAACAAATTTAAAATGATACACATAAATTGAACTATATCAGTAACAGAAAATATGAATGAATTAAGTAATTCAATCAAGAGGCATAGATGATCAAACAGGTATTAAAAACAAGATTCACCCATACGATGCTTAGAGAAAATATATTTTAAATTATTAATACAGACTAACTGGGGGCTGGGGATTTAGCTCAGCGGCAAAAGCGCCTGCCTGGCAAGCGCAAGGTCGTGAGTTCGGTTCCCGGTACCGGAGAAAAACCAAAAAAAAAAAAAAAACAACAACAAAAAATACAGACTAACTGTAAAAAGATGTGAAATAAAACATCAAACAGGAACCACAAGAAAGGTAAAGTAACTATATAAAACCTGATAAAATATACTTCAAATGTGTTACTAGCAACAAGAGGAACACTTTATAGAGATAAGGTTAATTTATCTAGAATATATAACAATTATGAATATATATGCTCCCAATAAAGCAATAAAAGAGCAATACAATACAGACAGAAATGAAGGAATAAACTAATCCAACAATACTAGCTGGAGACTTTAATAATCTACTTTCAACAATGGGTAGAACTACTAGGCAGGAGAGCATTAAGGAAAGAGAAGACATGAATAATAGAAATTAGCCCTAGCTTAACTCTCAAGTCAACAACAAAAGATGCACTCTTCCCAAAAGCACATGTACATTCTCTAAGAGACACCACATTCTAGGCCATAGAACATACCACAGTATACTTTAAAAGACAGAAATAATATAATCATTCCATAATGGAATGAAATTAGAAACCAATAATAGAAAAAAATTAGGAAACTTATAAATATATAAAAACTAAATAACACTCCTAAAAGGAAAATAGGCACAATAATAAATAAGCAAGTGTCCATAGATAAAGTCAAAAGGGAAAATGAATAATATTTTGTCAAAAAAAAAATGAAGCAAAAGAAGAAAATGGATGGGAAGTGAAAATACTAAAGATGAATGAAAATGAAAACACAACATACCAAAACTTTTGGAACACAGCTAACAGTACTTAGAGGAAAATTTACATACTAAAAATGCCCAAACTAAAAAACAAAAGGAAATTCAAACCACTAAATCTCTTCTCATCTTACAAAATTAAAAAAGAATAAACTAAAGTAGGCAAAAAGAAGGAAATAATTAATGAACCAGAAATGAAAGCAATAGATAGTAGTAAAACTAATGAAAATACAATCAATAAAACAAAAAACTGGTTGTCTGAAATGATCATAGTGTGGACTTGTGGACTTTACTACTTACCAGAGATAAAATAGATTGTAGATAAATACTATCATTAAATTTATGTCAATCAATTAAAATGAAATAGACAAAAGCAGAAGCACACAAACTAGTAAACGTTGGAGCTGCTGGAGCTGGAAATTGGTCATATGTGTGAGTGCCTCAAGCTGTCAAGCTACCTCAGTCTTGAGAAAAACATCCTGCCTGGACAATTACAGTCCTTAGCTGCTATGCAACATCACCTCTTGTGATACTAACTTTGCAAGCGCATAAATAAATGCCCCTAGTGTTGTAGTTCACTCCTTTTGCCCATCAGGTAAGAGGTAACTGCGCCTGAACCCAGCTATTGCCTCTTGTCTTTATTTCCTAAAGCCTCTCGCCATTTTCTCCCAGGGACCACCAAGAGACCACCGAGTCCTACAAGTAAACTTGTCAGAGATTAAATCAGTAATCAAAAAACAAAAACAAACAAAAAAACTACCCAGAAAGGATACCAGGACCCAGAGTGCTTCACTGCA